GCTGTATCTGTATCCAACAGCCAAGGTTACCATCCTCCCTTGATGCCACAGCTCTGCAAGCCAGTGCTGCTTTGGATGCAGGGTTGGGCAAAAAGCCTTTTCTGAGAGAACACCCCCATAAACAAAGAAGAAAAATCTCCTCTGTCAAATAAAACATCCCCAGTGCTTCATCTGTGGGGAGCCACACGGCTCCTGTTTCTCAGGGAAACAGCAGGGACTCCAAAAAAAGGCAAGGGGCCATTCTTTTATTCAGCCAGCTGAACGCTGCCAGGGAGCTCCCTGAGAACTGAGCTGCTCTGGGTCAGGCTGAGCTGGTTCTCCTCTTGTTCCCACACAGATGAAGGCTCCTCTCCTTCCCTGCTAAGAAATGACTGTGGTTTAAATCTGAAGGAGTTACAGGCTGTGGTATCAGGTAATGAGATGTGAAATTTTTTACCTCAGGGCAACTTGTAGCTATTAAACTCTGTTGAGACCTACCAAAAAACCATGGACTTACCTGAACAGTGGTTGTTGGGCAGCCTAACACAGAAGTGATGGTCCCAAATCAGCTCTCAATCCAAAGGGGTCTTCTGCGTGGTACCCAGCACCAGGATAACCACTTTGTGCCTGTTCCCACAAGTGCCAACAGCTGGATGGGCCCCAAAACTGCCTCTACCTCTTCATCTGCAGTGGGCCCCTCAGGGAAGGCTGTAAGGAATACTGTTGGGATTTTGGGAAGCAAAGAATCACATTTGGGTCTCTCTATTCAGAGTCTGTTTAGCAGATAAACAGAGAAGTTAATTCCCTCCAGAGATCAATCCAGCACTTTATGCAATATGAATACCCTCAATTTTGCTTTCACAGGCAAAGAAGAGCTGTGAATTTCCACATGAAGATGCCTCTGCTTCAATTAATACCAGCACATCCTTTTGGACAAGAGCTCCCCACAAAGTGAAAAGCTGCTTAGTTCTCTCACCAAGAGAAAACAGAAGCTGAATGATTAAGAGACCGTTAGCAAATCAGCCAGGAAAGATGCCCCAGTCAGAAATCACTGCTGAAATAGAGGAGTTGTTTAATTTTTAAGGTGTAAAAATTAAGATCTTTTAAACGAATCGAAGCAGAGAGGATCAAAATTATTCCCCAGGGAGCTTAGCTGGAGAGGAGGTTATTTATTTTCATAAGTGGCTGTCTTCTGAATCAACGTTTTTAAAGTGTTGCTCTTGCTGGGACATGACTGATGAGGCAGCTCTGAGACCCCCCCACTGTCCCCCCACTGCAGGGAGCCCCATGGGGCAACCTCAACATCTCCTCCTCCCTTGGGCCACTGCTGAGAGTTCTGGACCCACAGCTAGTTATTTTGGGGCAGTTTGCCAGCCTTGAATAAAGATGACCAGGAGAATGAGAACCAGGAGATTGAGAACCAGGAGAATGATAAAATTGACCTTAAATACCTGAAATAAAGAAAAAAATTCCTTAAATACCTGAAATAAAGCAATAAATACCTTAAATACAAAGGCATCATTTTTACACACACAGGTACACGGGGATCTCCAATATGAATTCCCTTTTAAAATGCTTAAAACACACAAAGATTTAACAAAACTTCACACTGGATGCAAAAGAAGTTGGAAGAAGCCTCATGAAGGAGGCCAGAAAACTCCACCAACAGAGACTGGATGAGACAGGGAGACATCCTCACTTGTGAACAGTATTAAAACAGCTTTATTCAGGAATACAGAATACAGTTTTTTTTTAACATTTCCAGTTTACAAAAGTTTAAGACCGGGTTGGGTTTTGATGTACAAACTCCCTTAAAGCTCTTATGTGACATCTCCTTTTCAAGTGGACAAAACCCCTCAAATCAGAAAGAAAAAGGACAACTGAAGGCCACAGCCCTGCACTGGGATGCATTCAGGCAGAATCCAGCACAGGATTGAAATCCTTTCTGCAGTCCATATTTTGGGTGCAAATTAGCCTTGTGGGAATAAAAAAAAAATACTCCAGACCTAGCATGAACTGCAAGAAGAGCACTTGTCTTACCATTTGAGTTCCAGGCATGAGATGCAAAGTAGCTTCTGATGAGCAACTGTTAACAAGAGGACTCGCCATCTGATGGCCACCTTCAAAATCCAGCATTAAATTCTTCCTTTGTTGAGCCCATTTTAAATATTCATGAAAAAATTCAATTCTGAATCAGTCTCCCTCTCTCCTTCTCATCATTAATAGTTTTTCTTATCTCCTAAACCCATTTGTCTTTCCTAAGATGTCTAAAAAGTAAAGCCCACAAGATTAACGAGCTGCAGCATTAATTAAAATGAGAGCCATCCTCTCTTTCCTCCACCCAGCTTCTAAATCTATCACAAGGGCCCTATTAGCTGTATCAAAGTGAAGTGGTGTAAATAAAACTGATTTGACTGCAAAGGAGAGGAAGAATGGATGCAGGGGGATTTAAATCTCTCAGTGCAGCCTTGTCGTGCACGTCACTGCAGACAAGAGCCAAGGAAATTATCCACAGGCTTTCTGAAAAGCAATCCTGCCAGTTTTCCATCAGCACAAGACCAGAGAGGTAACTTGTGATTTGCCTCACGAGGAACTTCAGCTTATTATCAAGTGGATTCACTAATGGCCTGATTTTAAATACACAGCACTCTGTTTTCAGCACACAAACCTCCTGTAATTTCTTCCTTTGTTTATTTATCTTACTTCCAGCAGGCTAAGCCACATCCCTTCATTTACCTCAAGTCATCTCTGTTGGAATCAGATATATCAATCACAGAGGAGAGCTGCTCCTTACAGTGCTGATCATTCAGGACAGAGGTGGACTCAGAACTTGGCTCTGGAAGAAAACTTCCCTGGGTTTCACTTCTGTCAGAACTGGGTGTTGAAAGAACATCCATTTGTTTCAATCTTAAGTATAAAAGGAAAGCTCCTGGAAGACTAACCTCCAATTAAAAGGTTAAAAGCAAATAGTAGAAGGATTCATTCCAATTTTATCAGCTACTGAAAAAAATTAATCCTACCACACGGTACTTCAGGAAGATTCAACTTCAGCCTTAGAAGCTGCAGGGTTTTCAATGAAATATTTCATTTTATCCACGTGGTTGCTACCCAAAAATTCCACTGAATAATGCAGCACGACCACTGTCTTAACACTGTGAGAAGTGACACCCTAGAAACAATTTCTGTGTGACACTAGAGCAATTTTGGAAGAAGCCAGCTAGCAAATCTCTTCTACAAACCAAAAAAAAAGGTGGTTTTGAAACCACTCATGCCTTTTTGGAACAAGATACTGAACTCCTCAGAGTTCAGTGGTCCCCAGGAGGAACAGCAAAGAGGAAGACAAGACTTGCTTCTCATTTTTAGGATCTCAAGACAATAATATGTAACAACACCCAGAAGGGTAGGTAAGAGCCTCCCAAATCAACAGTCAGTCTGAAAGGCACCATCTCCTTTGTAACTCCTCTTCTCAAAGCCAAAATGATTCCTATACAATGATAAATAGACCCTTAGCTGGAAGGGAAAATAGCACACCATTTAGAATGTTGTTGGTTATTCTTTTCCTTTTTTTTTTAAAGTCCCAAAGGATTATCTTGATGCAAAAAGTGACACGAGTATATACAACCTGAGAGAGTATTTATATCTGTACACATGTGACAGTGCCAAACAGGCTATGGCCACTCTGTCCCTGCTCCTTAGCAACACAGGACAATGTTTTTTAGATGCCAGAGGCAAACAATATTTGGTTTGCACACAGAACACCTGTAAAATAATGAACAACTGGGTGACAGTGACAACAGTCTGCCCATCAAATCAGACAGAGGCTGAACTTGTGTCATTCTCCTACTCACAACCAAGCTCAAACCTTCTTGGGTTCTGCCCACAGAACCTTTGGGTGAAAGAAGTTACCTTAGGGACAGGAGGAGGAAGAAAGCAGAAGGTGTGGGCAGTTCAGCTTCCCTCAACCCCACCAGACAGCAAACCCTGGTTAGTGGCACATGGAAAGAGGAGTGGAAAATGTGTCTGATAGACAAATATAAATATTTTTTTTCAAGGCAAATTTCCCTTTGGAAAAAGGGAAGGCACTGAATTGTTTTCTGTATACTGAGCACAACCACAAACTAGTCACTCACACCAAAGCTTTCCAGGATGGGTGTTTGCTTCAGGCTGTTCAAGATTTAGCTCAAACAGTTTTGGGGTTTTTTTTGGTTGGGATTTTTTTGTTTTGTTGCTTGGTTGCAGGGGTTTTAAAATTATTCCTTTAAGATGGAACACACCTTAAAATTCCCCCACACGTGAGGTAAGGTTGTTTGCCATGCTTGAAAAGAAGCCTTGTGCTGGTTTGTTGAGTTCAGTGCCTTCAAGTCTGGCAGATCAGCCAACTTTTGTGGTGTTCCTCAGACAACTCACACAAGTTTGGCCTAGATATGAGCATCTGGGGAAAAAAACCCTCAATTTATCAGCTAGAGAGTTGTTGCATCCTCACAAACTTCAAACTTTGAAAATTACATTCACAGTGAGAATGTTCCAGGCCACGAAGAGAAGGGTCAAGGAGGACATGTCCTGCAATTTGAGCACTGCCAGCAGGGCTGGCATTGGGCACCAGATCTCCAAGGAGAAAGGCAGCAAGAAGAAACAGTTCCCATGTCACCAGGACGGGAGGCACTCTGAAAACAAGAGTCCTTCTGGCACAGCTGTTGTGTGCAACATCTGGATATATTACACATGCACCTATATACATTCCCAGCCAGGAAACAGTCCCAGAAAGGCATCAGCTCTTTGATGTCCCTCTTTCTAGTCTGAACCAGAACTTGCTTGCAGAAGTACTGCTGAGAGTTGATGTGACTCCAGGCTCTGCTTCCACAGCTCTGTCCTGGATGAGCCCCCAAGGCTGAATTCAAATATTAACCTAGAGTGGATTCAAATCAAGCCATCCTTCAGGCACAAGTCCCCCTGAACCTCTCAGCCACAGCAGATGAACCCACACGGACGTGAAGGAGGAAACACCTTCCTGCCCATCCCAGTTATACTTCTCTTTCAGCAATGGGGTTGACCAGAGAATCACTTGGCTCTGCTGTCCTCTCCAGAAGAGTTCTGTGGCCATCCATGCTGTCATGGATGTCTCTTGTCCAACTGCTGGCTGTGCCCTGGGGGCTTCCTGCCAGGGGGGTGCCCGTGCTCACCAAGCTGCCAGTCCGAGATCGGTAAGGAGGAAGGTCTGGCTGATGAGGGGACTCGGATTCAGAGGAATAAGGTGGTGGAGGGAGGTCAAACCAAGGTGGTCTGCTGTGGGAAACAACACAGGAAGAGAAAACATTGGTACAGAAGAAAGAGCATACAGTTTTCCAACTGTGAAAAGCCCAAACAGTACTCCTCAGCTTTTTCCTGACACCACCTCTGCCAGGAAACCTCAACGAGACCTGTCTACATGATTCAGGTCATTCCAAAACATCACCATTGGGCACCAAGGTCTCAGGTCAAGAGGCAACTCTTGGGAGGCTCCACCTGGAGTTCAGCTCTGGGGCCACCAGTGTAAGGAAGACAGGGATGAAGGTCAGGACAGGATGAAGATGATCAGGGGGCTGAAGCATCTCTGCTGTGAGGACAGGCTGGGACAGTTGGGGTTCTTCAGCCTGGAGAAGAGGATGCCCCCTCCCTGCAAGTGTTCAAGGCTGGGTCAGATGAGGCTTTGAGTGACCTGGTCTAGTGGGAGGTGTCCCTGCCTGTGGCAGGGGGGCTGGAGCTAGATGATCTTTGAGGTCCCTTCCAACCCAACCCATTCTGTGGTTCTATAGCTAATTCCATCATGCTGAACACTCTACACTGATTTTCACGGATATGAACTTCCAACAAATCCCAGCTCACCCTCAAAGGCAGCTGCAAGAGGTAAGAATTTTTCCTGCACAAGATTTACCCCATCTGAGAAAGTGCTTTAGAAGAACTAAGGTAAGCAGTGGATTTACACCTATAGATAATAATGTGAACACAAGAAGGCTCAGAGGAAACCTCCATTAAGTGACAGAGATTAATGGCCTCTGGTCTACAAATAAATAACAAACTGAATTCTCCACATGAGAAATCACTTCTGCTGTCAGGGTATCAAATGCAGAGCAACTGCTAAGTAGGCACAGATAAAATGAGTGCTGGACTCAGGAAAACTGGTTTTTTTTGGTTCTGAATGTAAACCAGTAAAGGGACTGAAGGGTTTGGCAGACTGATAACAGGTCTGGGGAGCTCTGAAACTGCTGCTGGTTTCCACCAGCCCAGGTGAGAAGTGACTCTGATCTGGACAGCTGCTCATTTAGTTCTCCTGCCTCATGCTAACACATCATTATTATGAATGGCAACGTTGAGACAAGGGAGCTGCTGCCAAAGGCAGCAGGAAAGAGGAATGTAAATGTTTGGATTGTTGTTCTTAGATCCTGGAGTTTGTATTAAAAAAAAGACCAACAGGGTGACAGTGAACAATCTGGACCATTAAAGTTCACACCATGCCCTGTTTATGTAGCAGGTCTATCAGTTTTGTTTGGAAAGACTTGACAGACAGAGGTTAAAAAGAAGGTTAATTATCTACAAATAAACCCAGGGTCATAACTACAGAAACGTCAGAACCCAAACCACACCCACCCACAGAACTTCAGAGCACTTTCCACCTCAGAGGCCTGTTCTGGTTTTTTCTGTTGGTGAAGAGCAAAGAGACTACACAATTTCTTTATTCAAGAACTGAAGACCTCCCACCTTTATATACTTACCACATATGACCAAGGTATTTTTGGTTTAACTTCTAAACAGCATGACCTATAACCTGGTTGGGTTTTGGCAAAACTCCAAACTCAGTTTTCATGTTTTGACTCCAGTCTGGCACAGGATATAGCTACTAGATGAGGGATAAAATTCTTTCTGCTTTCATGCCATCCTCAAAATCTCTACTACCAATGACACATGCTAAGAGAGCATGACTTAAGCTTGCCTAAAATCCCTTTAATAGCAGGAACAGCGAGGGGACCTGAGGACCATGAATTTTTCATATGGAGGAGGAGCAAAAATTTGCTCCACTTTGGCCCCATGCCGTGACAGAACTGCAAGGCTGTACTTCTCAAAAGCTCCAGTAAGAATCCCAGAATGGCTGAGGTTGGAAGAAACCCTAGAGATCATCTAATCCAACCTCCCAAAGTTGCTCAAGGCCTCATCCAACCTAGCCTTGAACGCTTCCAAGGTTGGGACATCCACAACCTCTTTGGGCAACCTAGTCCAGAGTCTCCCCACCCTCATGCTGAAGAACTTCCTAAGGTCTACTCTAACCCTGTCCTCCTTCAGTTTCAACCAATGTTGTGGTTTGAGGCTTGGAATGGGGGCGTGACCTTCCAGCAACTGGGAGGACCCCGGGTGGGGGTGAACCATTGTATTCCCTCCCCTTCCCACACACACTCTGATAAGAGGCAGGGAGTGGGTTCTAATTTCACTCCTGCCTTGGAGCTCGGAGAGGGAAGTTGTCCTTTCACTCCGTGGGACCCTGGAACCATTTCTGAGGGTTTTGTATATTTTATTGTTTGTATTTTTCCCCTAATCTTTGTATATATTATTTTACTCACCTCCCTTTTTCGTTTTCTGTTCCTTGTTGAACAATATACTTCATTTTTTTTTCCAAAGTCTCTATCTCTCTCTCTCTCTCTCTCCAGGAGGGAGAGGCGAGGACATAGTTCTGTTCCCTGTGGGTCCTGCCCTGAACCCCTTTTTACACAGAACCAGGACAACCAACCCTTCCTTCCCCCTCACCCCGTCGCAACGTCCTTCTCCAGCCTTCCAGAAGGTTCCTCCCCCAGGAGGAGCAGCCCAGAGCTGCACCCAGCAGCCCGACGGCGCAGCTCCTGCCCATACCTTTGGTCGAGGACGGCCTCCGAGTAGGAGGGTGGAGAGTCCAGGTCCAGGGGCCTGTGGTAGGCCTGGCTGGGCACGTACTGGATGCCGTTGTTGACGTTGTAGGTGACGCTGCAGTGGTGGGGGTGGTCGAGGACCACCAGGCGGGAGAGGAGCACGGGGTGCTGCAGGCGGTGCACCGGCAGGGTCATCAGGTTGTTGCGTTTGCGTTGGTGGTGGAGGACCAAGGCGAGGAAAGCCACCACCAGGACGAAGATGACCGAGCTGCCGATGATGGCGTAGGTGATGCTAGGGTAGTAGAGCAGCTGGGTCTCCGAGGTGACGTAATCCTGGCCGCTGCCTGCCTCTGCAAGGCAAGAGGAAAAAGCCTGAGGTGGGTTTTGATATCAAACTGCTCTTCATCCATGACTTCTTCTGCTGATGCGTCGTGTGGATGAAGCAAGCTTCACTTTTCCCTTTGGATTGGGGAAGATTAGACTCCTAAAAGCACGTCCATGCACATCAGAGGTTGGCCAACTATGCCTCAGCACAGCTTCACCCACAGATATCAAGTGCAGCAGATAAACTACCAGAAAGCCACACTGAAATAGAGCAAAATCCACACCACAGTAGGAGGCACGTTCACCAGCATGGGATTATTTTCCCCATCCCAACCTATCAGCCACAACTTTTTGTTTCCAGAGGTGAGACGCCCAGTTCTGAGGCAGGAGGACAGCAGCTCAGCTGTACCCAGCAAAGCACCCCAGAATCAGAGGTGTAAAAACTTCATCTTCACTTTTAATGACTTAAAGGTGTAAAAACTTCATCTTCACTTTTAATGACTTAAAACTCTGTATAAATTTTGACAGCATTTCATCCAAAAAGGCAGCAACTCCATCCTGTGCTCCACAGATCTAACAACCCAAAATAAGTAGAGGAGAAAATATAGGAGAAAAAAAGGCATTGGAACAGCAAAACCAGTGAGGTAAACCTGGCAGATGTGATACCAGTAAGAGATGTGGAAGTCTAAAAGCAAAGAGTGCACTGAGGGAAGTGAATGATGAAAAGAAAACTAAAGCCCCAAACCAAACAAAAAATCTCAGCGAGGGTTGAACAAGTTGAGGAAAAGAAAAACACGAGTTGGGCTGAGATCATAAAAGATCACACAAGTGAGCTTCAATTTGGGGTGGAAATGGTGAAGGGAATGGCTGGAAATGGTAACTGAGTGGCAGGGAGCAGGAGCAGAAGCATGACCCTAAAGGTATGAGAGGGATGATGAGAGGAGATGAGAAGGCAAGATCAAAGGAGCTTCTTCAGATAGCATTTATCTTTTATTTGCAGGAGGCACTGAGGAATCAGCAAAGTTACTGAGAGTTGTAAGAGAAGTTACAGCTGGATTTGTTCAGGGTCACAATACAGGAGAATAATTCCCACCCTGGCTCTGGGCTCAGAGAAACTAAAAGTAAGGGAAAAATGACTTTGGATGACATCAGAATGGATCTTCCACCTCAGGAAAAACAAGAGGCTGAGTGAAAAAAACAAAACAAACCCAACTTCTTGACCTCCAAAATCCACACAATTACAAATTCTTCATTTCCTACATCAGAACACTGAGACAATAAATCTAACATACAATTTTCCCTTCTTTCACCTATCAACTAAAGCCTCTTTTTGGTCACTTGGAATTTCAGCTGAGCCACTGACAGATTTATCCAGCAACAAAATAATGAAATATAGCCCAACTGTGTCCAGAGTGCTAGAAAACCTTTCCTCAAGCACCTACTGCTCTGCATGAAGGAGCCTTGGCCACCATGGGATCATTCTGCTTTGGGTATTTCTCTCAGTATTTGAGTTAAACATCAAACCACACTTTCCAGTATCACTGAAAATCACTTATACATCACTTAGGTAAGATAATACAACATGAAATGGCTAATCTTTTAATTGCCTCTATTAGATATTTCAGTATGAAGGGTTGAGATGGGACTGTAGCAGAACGAAGAGAACATGATTATGGGTCTTGCTGTTGACTATGGAAACTAGCACTCTTCAAAAGATCTGTTTCAGTACAGCTCATCTTCATGCAAACATCAAGTTTATTTGCCAGGGATGATCCATGGATGAACACTGTGATTTTTCAGTGCCAGGAAGGGAAATCTCTTCTGACATCCCAGTAAAATACCACAAGACTGTGGTTCAGCTTGGCTCCCTGGTTACAGTGCATTGGCAGAAGACAGAACACGACACCTTTGTGGACCTGATGAGACCTAATTAGCCACCATGGCATCATCCTGCAGCAGCACAACCCCTTCTCTTTATTACCTCCATCTAATTAAAAGGGAGCAAACAAAAAAAAAAAAAGAGAGAGAAGTGAATTACAAGTCAGCTTTTCAAAACTTCTAAGGTTATCCATCTTTTTAGGATAGTACCTTCCAGGTCCTGCACAAAAAGCCTCAATAAATCCAAACAGATTAAGCAGGCTGCTAAGGAAAAACATTTTGTTAAAGGTCAGATGGAATCTCATGACCAACTTTAGGACAATCTGAAACAAAAGTTCTACTTTATCTTGTTTTATGACCCTTTTCACACAACAACCATCCATGTGTCTTAAGAATCCAGCTCCATAACCATGAATGGTCTTTGTAACCTAACAAACAGAGTGCACTACATCTCTCAGATGGATTTCTGCCAAGGAAGATTCAGCTATCACTGAAACTAAATCTTCTTCCACCACCATAACCACCTTATTTTTGCTTTATAGGTGGGTTTCCTGGACCAAGAAGACACAATCTTAAGGTCCCTTAGCAAAACAAACACTCAGTCCAGTGTTATTTTCCTTCTGCTGTGGAGCAGTTTAAACCAAGAAAGACCAACCTGCACCTTACCCCCCTTTTTAAGCCAAATCAGTAAATCCAAACCTGCAAAAGATGAAAATGATGTTACCTGAGCCTATCAGCACTGCTTGGCTTGTAGGTCTGGAGAGGCCACTTCCCCTTTAAGGGAAACAAATAAACTGCCCTTGATGGTCTTCCAAAATAATGTTCCAGCAAGAAAACTGCTCTACAGCAAAGCTAAAAGCAAAGTAGCAGAACTGTGAGATAGTTTTGCAAACAAGAGACTTCTACATCAAGGTTTGGGTTGGTTTTGTTTTGGTCTTACTATGTACCTGGTCATGTTGAAATGAATAAATTCTTGGTTCACCTTTCCAGAATGTCTGAAATTCATGTTTCTGAAACTGTTCACAGAAGTCACTGAACTGAATTTCTTGATAATTTAGTCACCTTCTCCCAGAAGAAACAGATATTCTTCAGGCAGGTTTAAAAAGTTCTGTCTGCTCTGCTCTTAAAACACAAATTCACACAAAAGGGGAAGTGAATTTAGCCTAAATTTGTGGAGTATTTCTTCTTTCCTGCTCCCCTCCCTTTAAGAAAAGCTGCTTTCTAATCATGCCACATATAAACAGTTTATCAATGCCACTTGTGCCTATTAAACCTTATCTGGGAAACGCTGAATTCGCAGATTAGAGATTTTTTGGAGTGTAAAAAGCTTTGTGAATAATTTAGGGAAAGCCTGATCAAGGAAACATAAGGGCTCGTGCTCAGGGGGCTCTCTTATTGACTGGGAACAAATTTGCTGTCTCCAAGTTTTTAAAAAGATCTGAGAGTCACTGCATTAAGTCTGCCAGGGATGAGGGGCTATTATTTTATCTTCCACAATCCTCTGCTCAAGCCTGGCTTTTCACAGTTCATCAGAGAAAAAGCTCTGGAAATCCATCATCTGAGCAGACAGCTGTAGCCTTAATGGGCAAGAGTCATGGTCCACCTCCAACAAAGACACTACTGTAACAACACATTTAAATGCCAACTGGTTCAAGAGCAGAGCTGCAGCTTGGAAGGTTAAAGATGACCCAAATCAGAGCCTCTGCACGTTTACTTTCTGTCCTGGCCATTCCTAGGGCATCCAGCTAAGTTTCTAAAAGCTCTGGAATTACCCACCCTTGATGATGATTTTATGTCCCACTGAAACAAGTCTTAGGTAGATCTGCAAGATCCAGCCCAGACCACACAGCCCCTTGACTTCAAGGAGTTTCACACTCAGTTACTATTTCATCTCCTCCCTAGGAAGCTTATTTCCCTTAGAAACCCAAGATGAGGATTTAATTGCATTCAAAGCAAGTTCCTGCCCTGTTTTGGCTCTCTCCATTTCGGGCACAGAAGAGAGATTTGTTTCTAATAGAGATGTTACACATACTAAAGAGACCTTCTATATGGGAATTGGGCAAATCTGAGTACATCTTTGCTCCCCAGGCACCTGAGGAAGGGGTAAGATTTCTGGAAAGCAGGAGGATGAAACCCCCAACTCCTTCCAGGTACATCCACAGAAGAAATGGCTTCACATCCAGACAACACTGATCTGCACAGATGGCCTGGCTTGAAGTGGCACCAGGTTGTTCTGTGTTTCACCCTGATCTAGTCACAAATGTCCCTAATATGCACAGACCAGATCCACAGCAGCTAGTGCAGCCTCGAGCTAAGAAGCTGGAGCAGAGGGTGACTCTATTCTCAGCATTTGAAGTTGCCCATCAGGTCATTTTCTCCACCTCTGCTTGTCTTCCTGCCCTGAAAAAGAGATAATGATGTTCTCAGGCTCTGAGGACATTCTCCCAAGCTCTTCTGAGCTGACAAGAACTATTTTCCTCAAAACCATGTGCTTCAAATATTAATCAGAAGTCTAAATACCACTGGGTGCTCTGTCTTGGTCTATTACTTCAAATGACTGAAAAGACTTTCAAGACCTTGGCTGCATAAACCTCTAGATATGGAGAACCTGTTATCCATCCATCCATACAGGGTTTTTTTAACCATTTGTGGCATTAGTGTGCTACCTTGGAGTAATGATCTGGGATTTTTGACTGTAGGACACAGTATAAGGCACTGTACAGGCTCTGATCAAGACTATGGTCATTGCTCCAAAGAACCTCGAGCTAAAGGTAAGACTTGGAGCTAGATAGATTTTTTAAGTCTATCCAACTAGCCAGGAAGACATAAAAAAACCCCTCAGGCCACTCTCAGCAGCATCAGGAGCAGTCTCAGCACATCTCATTCAGTGCATCAGAATGAGGGTGTTACCTGTGCCTTCCTCCCAGCCTCAAACCCCTCATCCTGCTCCCAAGTTACCACTTGACAGTCTCTGGAGCTGCTGAAAGAGCAGCTGAGTCATCAGAGTGAAGATCAGGAGCCTCACCTCTCACATGCCCTCTGTCCTTCTCTTCTGCAGGGTAGGATAATTACTCCAAGCACTTCACACATGGCAGTTTAAAAGTGTTAAAAAAAAAACCAAGAGAAGCAGCAAACTGAGCAAATAAGT